ATCAATCTTTCTGACAGCTTTGTGGATAATATGCAAGCAACACAAGAGTTGATGAGCACCAATACACACATAATTACCTATACAGAATGATCCTGCATAGAAATTATCCTCATTTGAATTCAGGACACATTCATTTTATTTTGAACAAAAGAAGATGACATTTTAATAAACTCAAATTTCATGAATAAAGCTATTAAGAAAGTGTCAAAGATGACATCTTGGTAAATGATTAGATTTTCTTAACTAGATTTGCACATTTCATTAAAACAAGTTTAACACAGATTTAATTATATGCACAAGAGGTGTACTTCACATCGGATAGTGTCAAATACTATTCAGACTCCAATTTATATGTCTTTATTATCATACAGTTGTCCTAAACAACAGATTCGAGTTCTCCATTATGAAGAAAAAAAACACCACAGAGTTAGAGTAGAGCGAATCTGAGTGGAATCAGAACTCTTATAAGTTTCCCATGCTTTCCTGCCACACTGATTTTCTAACTTTTGTATTCATTTTCAAATGTTTTAGATAAAATCTTCTGCAATTTGAAAGTAAGACTGATGGACGTGTCTTGCAACAGCCTTCTGAGATAATAACCGTATACGACAATCTATTTTCTCCACAATCTCTTTAACCCCATGTCGACTCTAGTTGCTAGCTCGAGGTCATTTGTATATTTGTCATTTCTTTACTTTTGTCAATTTTTCATTACCCTGATTCGCCATTAGCTTAGAAATGATAAATCAATGAAGAAATTTACAGTCAGCTCTTAGAAAACATACAGTTGATAAGCGCACATTTAGAACGGGAAAATGATAATAATTTTTTTAAAATTTAGAAGTTGTCAGGGATCAGCTGGCATGGGATCAACATTCTCCTTACATTTTTGGATTAGAATCCATAATGAGTTGAAAAGAGCACGTATATTTTGTTTTTACCAGAGTTACTTCAAATCGATTGTGTTTGAAAAACTGTAATGAAAGTCAAATAATATGATACTCCATTACAGATAAGTTTCTATTTTGATAAGTCACACAGTCTTGTACAGGAACCGGTGGACACAACTAAACAAAATAGTATAATCTACAAAATACCTTGCAATGATTGTGAGGTCAACTACATGGGTCAAACTAGTAAGTCGGGAGTAGTCAGATTGTTGGAACATAAGAATGTAGCTAGGGTTAGAACGATTGATCCCACGAAGATAAGTGATTTAGAAAATAGCTCAGCAATATCGCTGATTGCCTTAACACACAATCACACAGTAGGGTGGGAGAGGGTTAAAATTCTAGAAAGTAATCTAGGTAGGTGTAGGTGGAGAGAGGTTGATTACTGAATCCTTGTTCATCGAGTCTACACATGCAACAGAAATGACTCAATGCAACTACCAGAGATATGTATGGAAGATGTTATTACCACCAGTCAGTCAAATCAGAGGAGGATAATAATTAATCTTAAAATTCTATCTCAATTCACGTACATTATAACATTCTAACAAGTTACTCATTTTGACTATAAAAACACTCGTCTTATCTCACATCTGAGTGTATTTGATCAATAACACTCATATTGTTATTTCTGAATGTACATTATCTTATACTGATTAATTCAAATGTCTGATCAATTTTACTCATGTATAATAAATGAAGCAGGCAAGAAAGTTGTGTCAGTGACTTGATATGTTTATGAGCAGTTAATGAATAATTTGTGCTCGAAACGTGGTCATCAGTTAATATAAGTGTATAACACTGTGTGATTTATTAAAATAAAATCTTATCTATAATGGAGTTATACTATACCACGGTGCCCAAGTTTTGTACTTAAATCAACTGAAATAAGAATTCACAAAACACTAATACCAAGGCAGTCAAGATACTTTGAGGTAATCAGTCATTCCTTGCGTGCCGATTAGAACATAAGGCTTCAAGCTTTGAAGTTTCAATGGGGGTGATGTTGTATCTACTGGATGGGGTTGTTAGCCTCATGCTCAACTTTCCATTTTCTCATGACCAACTTTTCTCTAATAAACTGGGTGAGGTTTATGAATGTGTCAGTCGGGAATCGAATCCCTACCATGTGAGTGATTGGTGAGCATTCTGTAACTGAATCATCGGTACACAATAAATTATATGAACTGTATTTGTTCAACTAATTAGGCTATTCATATATCACTGTACTGATTTCTCCTATAACGTCAGAGACAACTTGTTATAAATAAATACCGATGATTGACTCAACAAGATCGAGTTGGTAGTTCAGTGTAGGTTACTGAGTCCACATTTTATCATAAAAGTGTAACTCCTAAACTTTAATAAATGAACATTGACAGGAGTGATGAAATGATTATCGGACAATCCACAATAGGTTTAAGAGTCATACTACGTCGGTCGAAGATAAAAGACTTGGTAAAGCAAATCAAATTATGTACATATTAATATATGTGTAAAACTTGTGCACTGTGGTAGTAAGTAATTCCATATTAGTTTGTTTATTAGATGTATCACACAGTGAAACAGTATTATTATTTACTGGATGACGTTTCGAAAAAAAATTTATTGTTCATAGTCATATCAATTATTGATATCATATCAATTTTATGGATAACTGATATGATTATGATCAATAAATTTTGTTCGAAACGTCATCCAGTAAATACTACTGTTTCATTGTGTGATAGATCTAATAAAAAAACTAATATGGAACGAATTAAGTACAGTTTATCTTCAAATCACTATTTGCACAGATCTTCCGTATTGTGTTTCTTCTGTCCTTCATATTATGTTTCTTTGTGTTCCTTTCACGTCTCCCATGTATCTCCCCAGCACTGTATCATTTACTTTTTCTGACATCGAATCTATCTCCTGCTATTTTATGTTTTTATGCTGAGGAACATCTATATATATATATTCCTAACAAATCTGATCAATAGCACATGCCACAATACCACACATTGATCTGAGACGTTATTATATCTCAGGATGTGGATCAGTGGGAATGATGCAGAGGTTTTGTTGTTTCTCCCACTATCAAAAGTAATACGAAGTGAAGAATGATTAGGCGAAGTTAAACTTTAAGTACCAGTAAGTGCCCACTGACAGATGACCACGAAAGTACCGGTCAAAAGATAAAGACGACTTTCATGTATAAAATACATATATTCATTCATTAGAACAGTGAATTAAAAGATATGAAGCTGTTACACAGGATACTTTTCTCTGACATGTAACAGAAATGCCTTTCAGCTTTGGACTGGAGTGTCAACAGAGCAATATAACCAGATTCTATACGTGCATTCATCTAGGTCTTCCAGTTTTAGCCATAGCTGTAATGAGGAACTATGCCTAAATCAACCCTAAGCTAATTCGGACTAACCTTAATATTTCCCATATAAGATTACCATAACCCTAACATGTCCTTAGCCTAAACTTCATTCTTTCCCAAACCTACCGAAAACTTACTATATATCCCGTTTAATACCAAAACACTTCGATTAGTATATTTTATCCATGATTACAATATTATACGCCTGGTTTCATTAGCCTGCTCAATGAGCGTTTCAAGGTTATTGATGCGGTCGCGGTACTTACTGGTACTTAAAGTTTAACCTGGCTAACAATTCATTGAATTTAATGAATTCTAGTGCTTAACTAAGAGTTGTACTGGTCTTATGCTGTCTTCTACCTCTTCTGTTTAGATCATTGTTACATTATCTTATGTGTTTATTCTGTACCTAATTTAAATTCAAACAATTTCAACCCCTTTCATATCATCCCTTAATCCTATCACATCTTCGTTAAAAAAACGTGTCTCATTTCCTTCCCTTACAATCTAACATTACTTAATCGGTTCATTTGTTTTCACGCTGTTTTTCATTATTCGTGTTATCACAGATTGCCTAACTTTTTCATCCTTATTATTGTTATTATTATTTCTACTATTATGACTAATTGCACAATTTATATTCACCATCTTATTATCCTATAGACAAAACACCATGATTGGTTTTTATTTGAATTTTATTTGTAAACTTATACATATCAGAGTTAAGCCGGATGAGATCTAATTGAAAACAATATTGTTCGCTTAAATGTGTTGTTCTAAGTTTTACTATGGGAATATTTAATATATTGAAACATAAATAAATAAAAAAACATCCTTACGTTGTAATCACTTTAATCCGTATTTTACTTTGAAAAACAGTTACCTGGAAAACAACTAACTCTAAAAGATAGAACTTTTAAAGTGTTCATAAGCAAGCTAACAATTCAGTCCTCGTTATTTGGTTTCAAACCTTGAACGAACTTCTGAACATGTCATTCAACTTAGTCAAAATCACTATGACTACATTTGTCTGTTAGGTTGTTATTCAGTATCTTTTGTGTTATATATATATATATATATATATATATATATATATATATATATATATAACTTGTAACTTCACTTGTTTAGGTGCAATGACGTATAAATTAACAATTATCCTATATCTTGTGTATTTTCCCTTTGTGTTATAATAAAAGGGAAGAACAATAGGTGTATGTAACGTTTATTATTTTTTTGTAAAAGTTTATTTCTCTTAGGCATATAAGAATGAGTTGCTGAATAAAGGTTTGTGTGAAATTTCAAATATTTAGTGTCAACTGACATCTTTCTAACAGGCATATATCAATAATCAAAATGTCGTACTGGTGGTATTTGTTTATCTATTTTCCCAAAGAATTCAATTTCAATAACAAAGTTAAAAACAATACATTAAAACAACTGGTTATGTTTACAATTCTCATTGAATTAACTGCTTTTACTTTTTTGTATGTTGACTTTTCAAAGACGCCTGTCTTGACCAACAAAAGCCTTGTGATAAACTTTTATAGATAAGACATTATCAGTGTAAGGGAAATTATTATTAAAGTATGATTTAACCAGTTCACCATTAAATGAACATCTGTGCGTATATTTTCTGTTTTGTTTTTTTCCAACCGCATGTGAAACTGTTACATGTGAAGTTACACAAAGGAGAAACAATTGAAAGAAACTATCATTAGCACTCTAAGCTAAAACATTCTGTCAATAACAACAAACTTCTTTCATTCGTTTATGCTTTTTCCATTTATCAGGTAGAACGGTAATAAATAACACATCAGTCATAAATGTTGGACATCATCGTATTGTTTATTAAATAGTTGATTGTTCGCACTGATAGGAGTATAAAAGAAAGCAGATATCTATTTAAAAAAACTTTATTCTCATCACTTAAAAGCCTTTCACACTTGATTCATTACTGTTAGAATAAAATACTTGACAAAATAGCCTATCGTTTCGAAGAATGCAGCTCTTCAACATTATGAAGCTGTTTGTAACATTAATCATGCTAAATTATCATTTATTTCAATCAATTATTACTACAGAAGGAAGATTTCTTACAATTAACGATGGGAATTCACGTAATTTTTGTCAAGCTAATCAGTATTGTCAAGAAATGAGAACTATCGATAAAAGGTACTGCTTATTAGGTCTTAATTACACTGAGTGGATTCGTGGAAAGTCGAATCTGCATCAAGTATTTTGGACTAGTATTGTTCGTGTATTGCCTGAAGTCATTACAGGATTGGAAAGCACAAGATTAATTTGGCGTGATGCAAACTACTTCAGTGATGCTACAATAACAACAGATAACAATCCTCAAATGTCGAAACAAGTGATCGTTTTTGAATTACCCAGTCAAAAATTGATGTCTGTTGATTTATCGATGAGATATAAATATAGCATTGTGTGTGAACTTGTACAAGACGAAATAGAAACAATGTCAACATTTAAATTTAAAGCATTTTCAACAAAGTTCAATATTGAATTCAAGAATCATAACCATAAACTTGATTCTTGTTATTTTCAGTTTCGAGCATCAGATATAAGTGACTGTATTTACAGGTAATGATAATATTTTAGAAGTAAAAATGAGTCTGTATTTATACTAACTACTGACACTTTCTCAATGCTCAAGATCAGATGGCCAGCAAAGATCACCAACATGGATTTCTGGCAATGAGCGAACCAACCCAGCAGGAACCAACTGTGCAACAAATAAGCAGGAAGAAATGGAGGTGGATTGACCATACTCTGAGAAAACCACCAAGTGAAATCACACGCCAGGCCATTTCTCGACTGGAACCCGAATGGGAAGCAGCGAGTTGGTCGTCAATGCGAGGGTGACATGGAGGAGGTCATGTGAAGAGGAGATGAAAGCATGTGGGCAGACGTGGAGCCAGGTGAAGACGGCGTAGAACCGAACACAATGGAGACGTGTGGCTGAAGCCCTATGTTTCTCTAAGAACTAATGATAACTATCATAAAATATAATAATGACACTTTCAGTGACATTGTACGATAGCAAGTATATTTTCTTGCACTAGCAGATATAAAATCCACGGGTGAATAGCAGCATGTTCCCAATGTAACCGTGGTCTTCATGTCGATGCTATACAAGAAAGTGGGTATGTACATAAACCTGAGTGACATAGGTATTTATTCTTCCTTGATTTTCAAGCTGTCATTTAGCAGCGAATCTGCTATGATGTCATTTGATTCTTAACCAAAGTAACATTTCAGTTATTTTAAAGTATTAATTTCCGATAAGCTATTCTTTTAAACTTAACCTATGTAGCGACTCATTAATTGATGTATGTGAATGTGTCTATATTTATTTACTTTTCGTCGATATTTTCAAGTGTCGGTCTGCATGGATCTGTTTGATTTCACTTTTGATCACTAGCTGCCATCAGTTATAGAACCACTGAAACAGGGTCATGAGTGCATACTAGTGAAATGGCTATGGTTTTCACTGGTTCTCCAACTGATGTCAACTCAAGAGATTAAACTTGAAACCAATCAAATCCCTTCAGACTAACATTTGAAAATCAATCTAATGCTCACCAGTGACTGACTGCAGGTTGAAGTTGCCTGGGTTCTGCCAAGTCGGATGTGAGGACAAATACTCTCTGATGACATTGTCTGGTTGTGGTGCTATTAGTTTTGAAATGACAGAATTTAGAATTGACAGGCTACTGGACTCCTTCCAAGTGAATCAATGATATACAATGCCGCCAAGTAACCTGAAGGTCATGGGTTGTACCCTTACTGGAGGGTTATGGTTAAGTATTAACGAAGAGTCCCAAGCAAGGACGAAACATCTGTTCATTATTCCCTGATTTCTATTGGTTCGTGGTTAAAATTTTGTTTGTAAACGTAAATGTAACTGCGAAAGATGTATTTTGAAAAGAATAGTAAATTCACAAGTTATGCTTCATTTATATCTGATTGATCCTCCCGTCGATGTTTTTTTTATCCAATAAGTATTGTGTCATTATATCAGTAAATGATTTGTACAACTTCAAATTCCACTTCACTTCTAACTGATTCCTCACACTTATCTTCACTTAGCACATATAACGATATTAAAAATCTTTTTTTAACTTTTATTCTCTCAGTAATTCAGTAAATTATATGTTGTTTTATCGGTAACAAAGTAGTCAGAAACAATTTTGGAAATTTTTTCTTCGTATTACTTTTATAATATGCTCGGTTAAAACACAAATGCTTTAGTAGTTGAGATAAATTAAAAGAACATTTAGTAAACTGACTGTCTTAAACATATTCAGCGATTTCTGTTGAGTGTGCTCATTACTAGTAGTAGTGGTCGTAGTAATATTTTTACACTGACATTGCATAGCTGACAGATTTATTTCGACTTTAACATGTTGAATCAAAAACTCTAACATGGTTTACTGAGATGAATTTGAAGTAATTAATTCAAGATGAGCTCATGACAAAATTAAAGTAAAATTTTATATATTACTGATCGATTGAGATGAGTAGTTTTATATCACTCACATCAACCAGTAGTGTTTACTAGCCAAATCGACGTGATCTAAACTGAACACCAGACAGCTGTTTCGCTCGTCTGAGGCTGAGCTCATCAGCGGTGTGACTTAGCTCAAACAGCCGGATCAGTTTAAACTATCGGAGCGAAACAGCCCTCCGGTGTTTAGACCACTTCCATCTAGCTAGCAGCTCCTACTGGTTGAAATGAGTAGTATACAACTACTCACACAAATCAATCAGTAGTATATAGTTCTATACATTTATAGCTTATGTTTATCATTAGTTTTGTTATGATAGTCAATAAATATCCTGTACCAAAGCCATCAGTTAGCCAGATTTAATCTAAAGTGTGGCAATATCAGCTGTACGATTCGACCTTTTTATTATTTTTAAGATAAACCACTTTTTTCTGAACATATTGGAATGAATTGCTCTGTTCAAGTGAAAGAATTCCCTGTTCACTGTATACTAATAAAATTTTTGACATTTTCATTCGCATATATTTTTTCAAATCTAAAAGAGTATATAATATATGTATCTAATCAAAGAATTCTTTCTCAACTTCTTTTCTTTTCAGATGTGCTGTCACCAAGGAGTGTCGTGTGCTTTATTACTCTCAGTCAAAACATGTATGTGTTCACATGTTGTATGTGTATGCCTTACTGCCGACAGTATTCTCTCGACGTCCACTTTCATGGGAGAGTTTTATAAAACAAAATGGTTAATGTCTGACGTTTTATTTCTATTAACTAAGCGAAATATAACAATACGTGATATTATAAGCAAGAATCAAGGTAAACGTTTGCATATATACATAGATACACTACACAAATATGTATGTTTGATGTTTGAACTTATTTATTTTTCTCCTGATCAAAAAGGAAAATATGTTGAATATGTTGAATCTCAGACTCTGAAAGTGTTCAGTTATCTAATTATTAACTTAAAAAATACTATCAAAATTATGTTTTAGATTATTTTATCATTGTTCTCTAGGTAAATGAATAATACCATTTACCAATGTCCCCACTGTGTACATCAGTTTCTTCATTTTAACATTAAATCAATACTCATTGACGCTTTACAAGTTATTATTATTATCATCACACTTTAGGTTCCCAGTGGAACATAGGGCTTCAAGAGAAAATCTACATTTCACTCCTTTATTCTGCAGTCCTCTTTAGCTGATTCCACGATCGGCCATAGGTTCTCATCGTCTCCTCACGATCTCCTCCATATCACCCTCAGACCTATGCCCAACTCATCATTTTCCATTTGGGTTCCACTTGAGGGCCTACGTTGCTTGTGATGTCACACAACCGTCTCCTCAGCGTGTGTTCGACCCATCTCCATTTCCTTCGGCATATTTGTTGTTAATTAAATAATACGTCTTAAATGGGTTTTTTAGTTTCTAGACATTTTATATGTAGTCACAAACCTAATTTTCTATGCTAACATAGACTTCACTGCTTAGCTAACAAAACATAATATTTTAAAATGTGCCTTTTAATGCATAACAGTGCAAAGCCAATCATTTAACATCAGTGAAAACTGAAAGAATACAACTCTCCAAATACTTTTATAGCTGTGATTAAGGGTGTAAATGAATTTAAAATCTCATTACCTTTGAAATTGTTAACGGAGAAATATGAAAAATTTGCACAGTTGAGACATTTAATTCACCTAGCTGATTGATTTTAAACTGTTCAGTAGTTGTTTATGGATGCAATATGTTGAAATGAATTTAGCAGTGATCACGAATATAATTTCACCAGTCAAAAGTAATCTAAAACAGAAAAAATAATCATATAAAGCCTAGTTAATTTCATGTGTAACTTCAAATCTGGATGAAATTCATATTAAGTACACAAAAGTCTTCAAAATGACCTCTTTTCGCAAATTCACTTTACAGCTGTACAGCTATTTAGGGGATTAAACATACAGTGTTATTTTCAAGTATTGGTTTTTTGTAGGGATTTAATTTGATTGGTTGAAAGATTAATCTGACGCTTCCTAGCGACTGGCCTTATTCAGGCAGTGACCTGGGGTTCTAATGGGAAGCCGTGATCAGTAGGGTGCAGCAGGTTGAAGGTGAGGCAGTAACTCATCGAAGAAGATGTTGTGAAGTGGTCGCTCTGTACTATGAATTGGCAGAAGTTAGAATACATCGACTGGTCATTGGATCGGGTCCCAGTGACTTAATGGTCTACGAGCTCGCCTTGTAACCAGAAGGTCCTGGGTTCGAACCCCATTGGTGGTTGCGTACTGCTGAAGGGTCCCAGCTTTCCAGTACTCCCACGTTTTCCAATGGTTCTCTAACTGATTTCAGCTCATGATGAAATCCTCCAACCAATTATACAGTGTTATTTGACAACTGAGGTTAGAAATTATTGTCAGTTAGTTACGAAATAAACCAGTGTATGAGCAGTAACAGTTTTTGCGAAAAATACTGATTAACTTATGTAATCCAGGTAGTTAACAACTAATCAGTTAAGGGATGAATAGTCATTTGGAAATAACTGATGGAAAACCAAAATCGAAAGATTGGAAATGGTTTTCGGAAGTAATAGTATAAAAACAAAAAGTCTGTATAGAGTTTATTATGCAACAATTCAGAAAAATAAAAATGACGCTTAAGTCATCATTAGACAAAACGTTTCTGGACATAGAGTCCCAGTTTTCCTCATGGACTGCTAGAGCTTCTGTTGTATGAAGATGTAAGTGAAATCCTTTTGAACAGCTTGACCTTACATTATATACATATATGTATATATCATATTAAAACGATTGCATGTAAACTGTAGAGAATGGAATGGGTGTTAATTCTTGATTCAGCGTATTTTTGACTAATACGGATATTTAAATGTGTCTGTTTGACCTTAGTGGTAGTAAAGCCTTTAAACACAGCACTATAACCGGTTAAAACCTGCTCTACTGATAAAATCTATTCCGTAGAAGGCTATCAATATAGGGTGATATCTTATTTTAACGTTAGCTAAGATATTTTTGAATAGGACATATTTCTGAAACTCCTACTTGTTGGTTGGAAGTAAGAGGACATTCGGCTTGATTTCATTTATTCTGTGTAACACAATAGTGCTATACCATTCAAGAAAGAATCTATCGATTATAATTCATAATCTAAAATCCTACTGATGTGATTGACTAACTTTTCATCTTCCTTTTAAACATAATGTTGCTTTCACTTCCTGACCTCTTGGTAACAGAATTTCCTGAATATCTGCATTATATGTTGGATTAGTCTTAGTACAGCTAATACATTGTATAAATACGCTATGTAGCAAACATTTCAAGGTGTGATGTAGAAAAATCCGGATAACATCCTTTATAGCATTCAGGAAGATCTGTAGCTTTTGGGTGACAATAAACGTTATAGTGATATATTATCGCGGAATGTATGGGTTATCGTGTTCACGCCTATAGAGGCGTTATAAGCGTTTACTTTTGTGAAAGTAGATAATATATAACTGGTTTCAGGCTTCTATAACCGAAAAAGCAACATTTTCCAGTATTGTGTTCGTATTAATGGAAGAACCTGTCATGATATCCCAGAGTATGTATTACTTCAATACCTAATCGTATATAAAAAATTTAGCAAAAAAAGACTATTCTTCGCGTTTTAGAGCCTTAATGGTCTATTATTTGCTAGGTTTTTGAGGAAATATAGGTTGAAAATTAGGTATATACAATGGTTGTTTTCATAGCAGTTATTCTATGATAACGAGACATTTGAAGGAGACATAGCCCACAGACACAAGTGAAATATACGTTTTGAGGATACCAAACACTTTTTTATCATCATCCGTGATGATTGAAATATTCCATAACACATCGAAGAGAGTATGCGATGAATGAGGCAATTTGCTGAATTTCCTGGTGATTTTATCCATTTCTGTGAAGTTCCTAGTTAAAATGGCTCAGTTGAAGATGTGATACTAGTTTAATTTACATTGTCACATAGAAATTCGGGAGACCGTAATTGCTGAGTGCATTACATTGCATCAGATTATCTCGATATCATTGTGCATTTGTGCCAGAAGAATAGTATAGATGGTGCTTCTACAATGCCAGACTGCTTCAAATCGGAATCACCTTTCTGTAGAATAGTAGCTCGCAGGTATGTCCTACAACTACTAAACGTGTTACTTCAGTTATATCAGTCTTAATAATTTTTCATGTTCACATCACTAACATATTCTGAGATGCTTAATGAATTACTTGTGACTATGAATGACATGGAAGGTGTACTTATGGCTCATGTTTCTAAAGCATTTATTATGAAACAAGTTATCTGTAGGGATTTTGTGATGTTTAAGTTACAATGCTTGTGTGTATGTAGTTACTGCATGCTATTGTACTTGAAGGGACAGTTGGTGAAAGTGAAGATATGATAAAGTTTTCTCTAAAGTCACTATGAATACTGCAAACTGTTGCTAAGAAACAGCATCAAAGGAATAAGTTCCGAATAGCTAGAAAACACTACCGCAGTTTCTCAGGATGCTGTTCTCCTCCTGGAATACCTTTTAATTGTGTGAGGGAATAGCACTTACCGATATATATGCAGTGTTCATTGTGAAGGGTCCGGAGTTTAACTTTTATTGTAATCTGTTGTAATTGCTTGTACAATAAATGAACAATCTAAGCTTTTGAAAAAGTTTTAATTTACGATACTTCACGATTGTAATTTATAGCCTAAGTTATTGTACCTGTAGAGATGTCATGCATTCCTTGTAAACAGCCGTTTATACGATATATTAAATTATTATTTGCTTGGTGCTATACTTTAGAAGAAGAACAATGTATGTCACAGTGAAAACCGCAGAAGAATGCTGTCATGACCAAAGAATGAGAAAGGAGAATGAACCTTTTTCAGCAAAGGTAGGAGAATATAAAGCGTTTCACTTCTACATTACTTATTTCTAACTTCAACGATTTAAAAGTTACACTTTATTCACTTACTTGTAGATGTTCGGTGAAGTCAGTCAACCTGGTCACAGCAATTACGCATCCCCGCAGTAATTACGAGAAACAATTGTGTAAAGACATTCGCTTATTACTTTTCATTAAATATATTTAACATCCTGCTTACCATACTTTTCTTATTCTATCTCAGTGAAACTAAATTTGTCATTATGACGAGATGTAGGCCTGAGAAACTAATCGTAGGCATAATTCAACGTCGGCGAAATCGTACTAACATTGCTACAGCCCAACCTATTAAATTATTCCTCTCGTGTAGACTTCAGTTTACACTGTATGTTAACACCCGTATTCATATGGATTGACATCTTGCTTTAAGTGAAATAGTAGTAATACAGTACTTTTGATTACACTTAACTTCATACGAAATCGAAGTCAACTGCAGGGCCCTAAGTTCTATTCTTATTTGTCAAACACTGAAGTTAGGTATTTTTGTCATTAGTCCCTACAGATTTATCTATGACTAGGAGACGTAATCTCAGATTTTTTTCGACGTGACTGAAGTACTTATAATTCACGACTTATATCGATGGAAAGTGTTCCTACAGAATAGCACTTACGTATAGTAAGGAATTCATATCCTAGGGAGCACCGGTCTAGCATGCCGTGCTCCCAACGCGAACACACGAACAGAAAGACGACAATCTTAATACGAAAAGTTTATTCTTATTGTAATACGAAAGTATTTAGTTTACACATCAAGAACATTGTTGATTTGAGCGACTACTTCTCCAGCGAACTCTGCGGCAAACGTCCGCCCATATTTGTCACAAATTCTCGTCAGGCCCGCATTAATAAGCCTCCTATTGGTTACGTATAAGTCACATTGATTTCGCGGCACAATTGCTGACGTGCTGTGTGATTGGTGAAGAAGTGGTTCTACATTTTCTTTCTCTTCCGCTGACAGTCGTCTAGACCATGGATCATTCTGCATATACACACTGGTGCATGAATGGTTGTGGACCATTTTGTGGGATGTTATCACGTATTCACTATCACGCAAAATTACGCGAAATGCAGACAGACAGTTGCAACATTTAGACCTTAAACATACATATTATCATAATACAATTCCTCTTACGACTTGTTTCGCAATTTCAGGCCAGCTTTTCCACGGTTCACGCCAAAAGTGCATTTAAAATAAACGTAAGCGTACTTATATCTGTCGTCCCCTGTTGTTTTGCTTTGAATGTGCACATAGTGAGTGCAGGACAACTACATTGTTACCATTAAATGACTTCCTCACTTGTTGAAATTCTCCTAAGGAATTCTCAAATTCCTCCCAACTAAAGAAACGCCTTCCCAGCATAATTTCACCGAAAATTCCACTGACGTCAGCAGTACTTTCACCCGCATTGCCTACCTGCAATAAACTAAAAAGGCGTTGTCAATTAGCATCCATCTGTGTCGCAATATCCATCAATAAAATGCTGCATGTATAACCTAAAATCGAGAAAAGCCCTAGAACTCACGGATTCCTTGACATCGCCAGCAACCGATAGGCCAACAGACCGAGTGTATGATAAACCAAGCCTGGTACATGCACAAAATAAGTAAAAGAAAACGTTAGAATACCAACATTTTACATTTATATTCATCAAACATGCTTGCAAACAACGCATGCCGCAACCACGCAAACCTGCACACGGCATGACCTACCGAGGACAAATTTAATGTCAAACTCTCCGCCACTGTACTAGCCAATCAAAGCTGAGAAAGCCCTTAAGCGCGTAAGATATAACGTATATTCTCACTCATACCTAAAATAGTAATGTAAAATCTACACGGATACGATAGAATATTCCTGCAGGGCTTTACATAGGAGAAAAGAAGAATGTGAGAAGCTCTGTTCTGGAACAATTGATAGATAGACTTCAATCACTTTGGCAACCACGAACATGATTTTAAGATTATCTGTCAGACTCATTCTAAATTGTCGCATTTTCCTCGTTCCAAACTTCCAAAGACAGTGCAGGCCTTAGCCACTCAATAGTTCAAGCCAGACATTTGTGTTCTTATTTCATCCCTGGCTGTAGAAGGATAAACACTAGTTTAGAAAATCAGAATAAGTGATTTAGCGAAAAGACTGTTTTTAACGAATCTGTGAAGCTGTAAAATTGTATATATGTGTTTTTTTATAATGATAAAGTGAGCTATGACGAAAAATTGGTTATATATTTTATAAAATAGTTCATGAAATATATAAATCTCAAAGGGTTGTGGAAATAAAGGATTATTAGGCAATTAAAACAGTACCTAACAAGGTGATAATTTTGCAAAAAAACTATTTTGAATTAAATAAATAAGTAAGTAAAGGTGACAAGTGAGATAACAGCAGAAATTGTTCAAAGTGAAATTAATAATAAAAGTCGAAATGGTATGGGGAGGATATACAGACTGCATAAACAAGACGAAAAAATAAATAAATAGGAAATGAGGATTGTAATAGTTTAGCGGAGACAGATTCGGGCAGGTTATTTCCCGCCCTGTAGATAACTTTAAAGCAAGATGTATAAATAAGGTGGTGAGTATCGACCATATTTCCAATTATTGCGCTTCTTATGGTCCTACTTCCACCTGTTTGCAGCCACACACATGACAATATTCTTGAGCCTTCTTGGATGAAAATTGCGTAGAACGACCGATATACTCAGCTGCATAGGAGGAGGTGAGCTGACAAACGTCCACAGAGTTGGTCAGCTGAGTTATCTTGTCCCTCAGGCCATTGAACAGTAATGGTCCACTAGAAAACACCATTCTTTACGATGCTACAACGAAGGCCGTTTTCAAGGACAATGAGATCCTTCTTTTAGCGATTTTGGCAGCTAAGTCCCCTTTGAACATAAGGTTCATATGCACCAGCTGTGTGTGTGTCGATAAAACATTTTCTGGTTTCGTTTACTTAATTTGTGTTCTTTTCCCTTATTACTACGATTGATATTATTTTTGTTTTCATTTGGAACTGTTTCTGGTACTATTTCACTTATCCCATTTATTATTTTGAATAAATCTATTTTTCTTCATACATTTATTCCCCTTGTATATACGAGAAAGTTGTGTATACCTTGATATGATTGTGAGCAATAAATTGTGCTTGAATAATCATCCGTAAATATTACTGTATGACACTGTGTGACTTTATCAAAATCAGTTTTATCCATAGGGGAATTATGCTCTACCACAGTGCCCAGGTTTTATTCTCGTATGAACTCTGTGTAATTATGTTAAAATTGTTTCTGTACATAAATTTAATAATGTCTGTAGGCTGTAACTAGCTGATGGGAAGCCAACGAAGTAATTGTGATGGTACCATTTGTTCTGCACAGACTGTCTTTCATGCTTTATTCAAAGTCTATTTTACACACTGTTGAAATTGACCTTATCAAACTCACCATGTTACGTAGTGTTTTTAAATTGCCTACTTATCCTAGTAATCCTATTAATTTTACATTCCCTTCAAAAATCTATAATTTCTACTAAATATTTTATGTGAAAATATTCATTTTATGCCTTGATATGGAACTATGGTAACAGCCAAAAATATTTGTATCGCATTTCACACCATTATTTTTGGTATTCGCACATTTGTTTAAATTTATTCAAGGGATATAGTTTCTTGAAATCAATATATATGTATATGATTGTACAACTCGATAATAAATTCGTTGAAAAGAGTCTCTTCACCGCATCTCTAGTTGTTAATCTCACAATGGGAATTATTATTTTATAACTACATCATTAACAATATTTTCAACTCATGTTGCTTTTTTCGTGGAACAGTGAATCTTGGCCCTGTAATTCAGTCTTCTGTATATTTCTAAGTTTGGTGACAGTGTGCTGAGAGCTGTCTACCAGCCAAATTGGTAGACAGTAATTTACGTCAATGTTTACGTTCCCAAGATTTGTCGTGAGAAAATGTGAACAAAGATTGATTCAAAACCGACCTCAGCATACTTTGCGTAGGCGGATGCAGTTAACATATAGAGGATTTGACATTCAAGAAACAGTCACAAATAGATGAAAGATTAACTTTACGTGAGAAACAACCAATCGGAAGACTGTGTTTGTTTGTTTAAATATCCATAGTAATGTACATGAAAATATATAAATATGCGTTGATTTCCTTAATAAATGATCTGTTGCCTGGCCCTTGTCTTTTGTTGTTACAACAGTATTCCAGTGATAAGTCGTACATTGATATGTGTTGAAGTAACAGTAAGAACGAATTCAAATGTAGTACAAGTCCTAATTACTGCATGCTTTAGTTTTCTAACATTCTTATGTATTTTTTGATTACAGCTTGATTCCACACCGTATTTTTTGGCACAGGTATGGCATTTTAAGCATGTGATATCGGTAGCCAAATTTTGCGGGCCGACAATAGATATCAGCTGTCCGTCGGCAGGGGATCGAACCCCGGACCATGTGCATAGTCAGCAAGAGTCCTAACCACTGTGCCACCGACGCATTAATAATAATGAATGAATATATGTTAATTGGTTTGTATCTGACACTGATTGGATAAATGTGATGACGGAGGCACTCATGGAGAAAAAATAATTGCTCTCTAGTGGATCCTTGCCTTTTGGCAAAGTCTTCCCACTTTCGAACAGTAAGAAACGTCTTCCGCACGTAAGATTTAGTTATGATTGAGAAGATTTGTAGCTCTGGTGGATGATTTTTGATGTAGTTGTGTTTCTGAGCTCAGAGAACACAACTACATAAAAAAAGTATGAATATTTATTTGTCGTGTAGCAATTAATGACAGGAAAGGTATTTTGGATTGTTCGTCTAGTACAACTAGACTTCAGATTTCATCTAATTGTTAAATCTATGGGTTGTTAAATTACTGTTGCAGGCCTTGAAATACTTAAAAGCGCAGTGATGAACAAATGGTCACTTGAATACATCTGAGAATAACTGAAGATCCGACTAAGAAGACGAAATTTCTTAAATGTATAATTTATGTAGATTCACATATCAGTATCAATCTTTTTTTGGCTATAGGATTTTTCGCCAAGGTTATTAAGGAACACACAGTGATGCAGTAATAACAACTGGATGACGTTTCAAGCACAAATTATTGCTCACAGTCAAATCAGTTTAGTCACATGGCTTTATGATTTGTCTCATATATATATCTTTATTGTTTGTTGCAACTTTCCATATCTACCGTGTATATATATATATATGAGGCAAATCATGAAGCCGTTTGACTAAACTGGTATGCTGTGAGCAATACTTTCTGCTTGAAACCTCATCCAGTCATTAATACTGCATCACTATGTGTTATTTCAAATTAACTTATTTAATGTATCCAAGTTCTACACTTTCATTAAGGTTATTAAAGAAAAAAAATAGCAGTTTTTACCAATGAGTGTTTTCATCCTTCCCACTGTTGATATACAGAATTGAAAGAACCAGGATAACCTTAGATGTCTTAATACTCTCTTCGATTATATCATGATCATATACTTGCTTGTGACTTGTAGTGGTATCCACGAAGCAAACATTGTTTTAATTGGTGTTTTATGTAGGATTTGAGTTCATTGTTGAAAGAATGCAATAATTAATCAGGAACTTTGGAATAATGACTATTCGCAAGTCAGAATTTCTCACATTTTTACAATCCCGCTTTATTTCACTTTGCCTCGTGTTGTTAGCATTCTTCACACTTTACTTCAGTTGGTACTATGAACATACTTGTCGACTTTTTATAAAGCAGTAATTATTGGAGATCGAAGAACTAACTAATAAACACCATTTGATCATTGGGCAGTCAGAGGAAGGTAATATAGTTGTCCAGTTTAACAGATCAGACTATGCAGAAAGAATATCGAAAATGCAGGTGCATCCGGTTGACGATTCCCAAATAAGACGAAATGCATATCCTGGATTCCAGTAGTAGCTATCATCAACCAAGTGAAATCAAGTGTCCACACTAGAAGCTGAAGAAGTGTCAACGAGGAAAGAGCATTTCGGTCTAATATAACCAGTCAACAGGAAGTAAAATGACTTATCTGTTATTCTTGTGTGATGGGCCACCACTTACAACTAAGCATGGGTATTTGAGGTTTTCTTTTCATATTTATACAAATGTGAGCCATAGAAATAAATCGTGTTTCACACGTTATTACTTACTGTCCAGTATATTCATTTGGAACAGGTAGGAATTGCTTTTATGACTGTTCTCGGTAGGCGTCAATTGCAGTCAACAAGGAAAAAGTAATCATTCAGAAAATAGTTTCCAGCTTTCATAATCCGGGTGATTTCCAGGATACAATGCATAATAATATAATTTGCATGCAGCATACATTGCTGCGCTTTACTCTCCCATAACTTCGAGATTTTTTATTGGTGGCGAATATGTAATAAGTGAAGTGTTAACAATGTTAGCCTTACTAACAGCTGTCATCTTTGATATTTTTTCCTCTGAGTTTGTGATAGGACAAAATATTTCTTCGATTTAAGTGAGGTTGTGGGATTTAGTGCCAGAATTCATGTCTAGTATATTTCCAAGTAGAATAAGGCTTTCTACTACCTCTCACTGTTCAGATATAACTTTAAAGCTATTTAAAAGAATTTCCCTGTGAGCCGTATTGCCATCAAAAATGCACTGAACACTACCTTCAGTCGTACATGAAGACGAACAGGGGGTAGCATACAGCCCAGAATTGTTAAA